TCTTATTTATTTTTGACATTATCAATAATATCAAAAATAAATAAGAAAGATCAAAATAAATATATAATAAAATGTAAAAATAAATAAATAAATAAATAATAATAATAATAAATCTGGTAAAATCTTACTAAACCAGTCCTTAAATGAGCTTAAGGTGTAAAACGTTTTATTAAATGTGCAAAAACATAAAATCTATAAATTGCATTTTATAAGTAAATAAATGTAATTTTACTACAAAATTTGTATATTTATAATAAAAATATATTTGAGATATTTATAATCAGTACAGAATATTGTACATATGCAGATAATTTTATTCTTTGTCTTTTAGTATATTTAAATAATTACTTTTACTTTAATATTACTTTTATATTTCTAATTCAAATTACGTTTTTATATATGCAAATATATAGGAGAATACAGTACATGGACCATAAAAAACATGTATTTGCATAATCAATAAATAAAATATACAAATAAATGTTTTACTATACTATTATATTTATAATAAAAATATTATATAGTTATAAATGTATGTTATAAATGTACATGTACTATAAAAAAGAAAATATATAAGCATTAAATATGCATTATTTTTTATTTTTCTATTACATTATTATATATTTAAATACATAAATGCATATTAGACATAACATAAAATACTTATTTGCATATTAAGCGAATAATTAATAATTTTACCATTCCTTTTTATAATTGTAAAAAAAATCCTTTTTATATTTAAAATGGAGCATATAATATAGCACTCATACTATAAAATAATAAACATTTATTTGCATATTTAATAAATACATGTAATATGTATTTACACAATATCTCCTTTAAAGTGTATGTAGTATTTTATGCTCCGTGTTGGGAAGGTTACTTTGGAAATGTAACAGGTTACAGATTACAACATAAAATACTTATTTGCATATTAAGCGAATAATTAATAATTTTACCATTCCTTTTTATAATTGTAAAAAAAAATCCTTTTTATATTTAAAATGGAGCATATAATATAGCACTCATACTATAAAATAATAAACATTTATTTGCATATTTAATAAATACATGTAATATGTATTTACACAATCTCTCCTTTAAAGTGTATGTAGTATTTTATGCTCCGTGTTGGGAAGGTTACTTTGGAAATGTAACAGGTTACAGATTACCTATCTAAAACGTAATAAGTAGTGCAACTATTTCAATTACTTTATTAAAGTAATGCAACTTTTCTAAATTTCTAATGTTTTCAACTGTTAATCATTTTTAAACATGTAAAGCAGGGAGGGTTAACCTTACAGAACTCAACACTGATTACCATCACTTTTTCATAAGTAACTAATTTAATTACATTTTTTCTCAATAACTGTAACTGATTACAATTACATTTATTTTGTAATTAAATTACGTAATTTAGTTACATGTAACTAGTTATTTCCCAACACGGTTTATACTTGTATAGTATATATTATATACATTGTTTTTTATATATGCTGCAAATATATACATTTTAATTTTAGAAATGTATACCTTGCTTTATTATACATTAAACTTATAGACAAATAAAAAAAATATATATATTTATTTGCATAGACAATTGAAGAATCCAGTTAAAGAAAATCAACATCTGTCAGCCAATCAGAATCACAAATGTAAAATACATCACGGTATAATGAGCTTCAATCATCCAAAACCCTTCAAACCCCCCGCCTCAAACATCTGCACAGTATACCTTGCTTTATTATACATTAAACTTATAGACAAATAAAAAAATATATATATAATTTATTTGCATAGACAATTGAAGAATCCAGTTAAAGAAAATCAACATCTGTCAGCCAATCAGAATCACAAATGTAAAATACATCACGGTATAATGAGCTTCAATCATCCAAAACCCTTCAAACCCCCCGCCTCAAACGTCTGCACAACCTGCAAATGAAATGAAAAATCCCTCGGCGTAAGAGCACACGTACAATTAAACACTCCATTATTACCCTACCATTATACAGTATGGAGTCCTGTAATGTTTCCAGAGCACCAGAACAGAGTCCACAGAGAGCGAGCCAAACCCCACATTCAGTGTAACAGCATCTCTGACAGAGACTGGATGAGGTCTGCTCTCTCTCTCATTAGGTTCAGATGTGGGAGCCGGGGCCCGTCAGGGTGGAGCGGGACACAGAGCTTCATTCACGAGCGTCCCGTCTGACTCACTAATATACACTTACTGCACTGCATGATCATCAACCCTGAACTCTAAAAATACACCCTGAGAGGGGAACAAACCTTTGGAGGAACCGTTTGGTTTCATAAAAATGCTGCAGAGGATATGCATCTACTTTAATGCGCTTTAATAACTTAATTCTATTTCCAGCCGTTGCCATTTCTATTCATAGCAGAGTTTTTAGAATTAGGAAATATCAAGAGCCCAATTCCAACTTTGCACAGTTTCGAGTGTTTTTTTTTTTAAGCACATAATGGATGTTTTGGATAAATGCTTGTGAAATGTTCTGAAATATAAGCATTAAGCATAAGCTGTTTTCCTCTGGCTCAAAAATAAAGAAAGTACGAGTATACAATATAGCACAAAACTAGTCATAAGTCAATGGGGGATATTTGTAGCAATAGCCAACAATACATAGTATGGGTCAAAATGATTGATTTTTCTTTTTTGCCAAAAATCATTAGGATATTAAGTAAAGATCATGTTCCATGAAGACATTTTGTAGATTTCCTAGAGTAAATATATCAAAACTTCATTTTTGATTAGTAATATGCATTGCTAAGGACTTCATTTGGACAATTTTAAAGGCGATTTTCTTTAATAAATAAATATGCAAATAAATGTAATTCTGTTAATTAATTTTATAAATGAATAAAAATTACATTTTATATTATATATAAATGTATATAATGACAATACATATAGCACATAGAACATAAAACATAAAACAATACAATTTATTTGCACATTTAATAAATAGAATATGCAAAGAAATGTAAATTCACTCTTAATGCTTATATATTTATACTAAAAAACAGCATTTTTATATTTATAATATATAAATGTATATAATACGAGTATATACTATAAAATATATACTCACATATATATATATTCTTCCATCTTTATTCATAGTAGAGCTTTTAGGATTAGTAAATTGATTCAACATTTCTTGCGCAATTTTTAAAGCACATAATGGTTTTATAAAGCTCTTTAATTTGCTTGTGAAATGTCCTGAAATGACATCTTGCGCTGTAAATGTCAAACTATCTGTTCAAAAGCACAAACATGTTCTCCTGTGGGTCTTGTTTGGGTTTAAGGCACATGCGGCTGATTTCCCGAGGTCACGCTCATCCAAACCTGCCCAGCCCAATCGCTTTCAATCCAACATGATCACCAGCATCCTAGGGGAACACTAAAGCTACCGGCCGTACAAAACCACTAAACCGTTAATTACAGAGGGAAGAAAAACAGAGATGATATCCCACTGAACCACATTCAAAAGAGAAGCCACTCTTCAGGGCTGCATAGTTTTGTGGATTTTTCGGATTGATTCTAATAATAACTAGATTGAAAAAGTTTGTAGACACACTTTAAGTTGGCTTGAAAAAGCCTAGCCAGAAAGTTTTAAAAAGTTTTAAAAGCTTGCAGTCTGAAGGTTTTCAGTTTGAAGTAGTTTGAAATGTAAAAGTTTTAAAAATTAAAGTTTGAATGTTTTAGGTATAAAGCATATTGCTAGGGTACCTGGGGTGGTTGATAGGGTGCTTCTATCATGACTAACATGTTTCTAACATGTTTTAGCATGATTAGCATGTTACCAGAATGTTGCTAACATGATTAGCATGTTGTTAGCATAATTACCATGTTATTAGCATGTTTCTAGGATGATTATCATGTTACTAGCATGTTGCTATCATGATTAACAAGTTACTAACATGTTTCTAGCACGACTAGCATGTTGCTAACATGATTAGCATGTTACTTGCCAGATTAACTAGTTATTAGCATGTTTCTATCATGACTAGCATGTTGTTAACATGGTTAGCATGTTATTAGCATGTTTCTAGCATGCTGCTAGTATGTTTTTAACGTGATTTAACATTGTAAATCCAGCTAAAAACAAGGTAAAACCAGCGGATTCAAAAAACCACTAGAGACCAGTTAAAATTGGCTAAAACCAGCTGATTTAGCAAAAAACCAGCTAAAAACCAGTTAAAAACAGCTAAAAACAGCTGAACCAGTCAAAAACCAGCTAACAAGAGACAATAAGCTAATAAGAAACAATGCAATAATGCCACATGAGTCAACAATGCTCTCGCTGTTCGGTTTTGAACAGTAAAATTCAACAAATTGTGAAAACAAGCCTGTGAAATCAGCAGCATGATAATGTTTATGCTAGTATGTTTTTAACGTGATTTAACATTGTAAATCCAGCTAAAAACAAGGTAAAACCAGCGGATTCAAAAAACCACTAGAGACCAGTTAAAATTGGCTAAAACCAGCTGATTTAGCAAAAAGCCAGCTAAAAACCAGTTAAAAACAGCTAAAAACAGCTGAACCAGTCAAAAACCAGCTAACAAGAGACAATAAGCTAATAAGAAACAATAATGCAATAATGCCACATGAGTCAACAATGCTCTCGCTGTTCGGTTTTGAACAGTAAAATTCAACAAATTGTGAAAACAAGCCTGTGAAATCAGCAGCATGATAACGTTTTACTACACGGGAAAATCAATTAAAGTCAACTTCTGTTAAACTGAATTGCTGCACGTTTGGAAAAGCTGTTTCAGAGAAAAGGAATTTGGTGTTTTACAAGGATTCAAATGTTCAGTGACGCACAGATTTCCAAGTCCACAACGAAAGCACGCAGAGAACGGACAAAAACTACAGCAGGAACCAGGGTTACTATCCTGTTTACTTTTGTTACTCAAAATAAAATAAACCTGCACTGAAATAAATAAATACAATTTTTCATTTTCGTTTAATGTGACTTGATGCTCTAATAAAACTATCTAGACATGTTAAAAAACAAAAACTAACAAAAATGACAAACTAAAAATATAAGATAAAATAAAATAAAAACTAATTCTAAATATCTTAATGATACTAGAATAACACTAGCCAAAAGTAAACCGAAAATAATTTATTTTGTTACCTTAGAAATCTAAAACAAAGTCATGCAAAAAATTTGCATTCATTTAGCCCTAATATTTAAGTGTGAGCTTGTCTGTCGAATTCACAAGCACTGATTGCAAAAACCCATCTAACAATCTTAGGACATAAAACCTAAAAATATGACATTTTATATAATACAAATGTATATAATATGAGAATAAATTTAGTACATATACCATAAAATAATTAATAAAATATTTGTTTATTTAATACATAAAATATGCAAATAAATGTAATTTTACTATTAATTGTATATAAAAATATAACTTTTTATACACTTCTTATATATAAATGTATAACATGAGTATAGTACATGCACTATAAAGAGAAAATATTTATTTGCATATTAAATAAATATGCAAAGGTAATCACTACAAATCTTTATATTGTTACGTTACTTCTGAGTTACATTTTAAATCTGGGCACGGCATGCTTGTTTATTTCTATTATAAGTTCTTGTTTTAAAAATGTAAAAGCCCTTTCACAACAAAAGTGAAATGAATGTGCCTCAGGCTGAAGAAAATGTAAATTCATGTCTGTACAGTAGAGGGTGCAGCTCAAACAAATTGAAGAATGTGACACAGGAGAAGAAAGTTCAACGCTATTCAACAATAACAATAAATAGAATGAAAAGTTTGTAGACACACTTTAAGTTGGCTTGAAAAAGCCTAGCCAGAAAGTTTTAAAAAGTTTTAAAAGCTTGCAGTCTGAAGGTTTTCAGTTTGAAGTAGTTTGAAATGTAAAAGTTTTAAAAATTAAAGTTTGAATGTTTTAGGTATAAAGCATATTGCTAGGGTACCTGGGGTGGTTGATAGGGTGCTTCTATCATGACTAACATGTTTCTAACATGTTTTAGCATGATTAGCATGTTACCAGAATGTTGCTAACATGATTAGCATGTTGTTAGCATAATTACCATGTTATTAGCATGTTTCTAGGATGATTATCATGTTACTAGCATGTTGCTATCATGATTAACAAGTTACTAACATGTTTCTAGCACGACTAGCATGTTGCTAACATGATTAGCATGTTACTTGCCAGATTAACTAGTTATTAGCATGTTTCTATCATGACTAGCATGTTGTTAACATGGTTAGCATGTTATTAGCATGTTTCTAGCATGCTGCTAGTATGTTTTTAACGTGATTTAACATTGTAAATCCAGCTAAAAACAAGGTAAAACCAGCGGATTCAAAAAACCACTAGAGACCAGTTAAAATTGGCTAAAACCAGCTGATTTAGCAAAAAACCAGCTAAAAACCAGTTAAAAACAGCTAAAAACAGCTGAACCAGTCAAAAACCAGCTAACAAGAGACAATAAGCTAATAAGAAACAATGCAATAATGCCACATGAGTCAACAATGCTCTCGCTGTTCGGTTTTGAACAGTAAAATTCAACAAATTGTGAAAACAAGCCTGTGAAATCAGCAGCATGATAACGTTTTACTACACGGGAAAATCAATTAAAGTCAACTTCTGTTAAACTGAATTGCTGCACGTTTGGAAAAGCTGTTTCAGAGAAAAGGAATTTGGTGTTTTACAAGGATTCAAATGTTCAGTGACGCACAGATTTCCAAGTCCACAACGAAAGCACGCAGAGAACGGACAAAAACTACAGCAGGAACCAGGGTTACTATCCTGTTTACTTTTGTTACTCAAAATAAAATAAACCTGCACTGAAATAAATAAATACAATTTTTCATTTAATGTGACTTGATGCTCTAATAAAACTATCTAGACATGTTAAAAAACAAAAACTAACAAAAATGACAAACTCAAAATATAAGATAAAATAAAATAAAAACTAATTCTAAATATCTTAATGATACTAGAATAACACTAGCCAAAAGTAAACCGAAAATAATTTATTTTGTTACCTTAGAAATCTAAAACAAAGTCATGCAAAAAATTTGCATTCATTTAGCCCTAATATTTATGTGTGAGCTTGTCTGTCGAATTCACAAGCACTGATTGCAAAAACCCATCTAACAATCTTAGGACATAAAACCTAAAAATATGACATTTTATATAATACAAATGTATATAATATGAGAATAAATTTAGTACATATACCATAAAAGAATGAATAAAATATTTGTTTATTTCATACACAAAATATGCAAATAAATGTAATTTTACTATTAATTGTATATAAAAATATAACTTTTTATACACTTCTTATATATAAATGTATAACATGAGTATAGTACATGCACTATAAAGAGAAAATATTTATTGCATATTAAATAAATATGCAAAGGTAATCACTACAAATCTTTATATTTGTAATAAAGTATATTTGCTCATATATTATATATATATATATATGTGTGTGTGTGTGTGTGTGTGTGTGTGTGTGTGTGTGTGTGTGTGTAGTGGTATATATGGTTTATGAGGACACAAATGTGTCCCCGTAAAACAAAAGGCTGAAAAAAAACATACAAAACTCTGTTTTATGAAATTCAAAAATTGCCAGTAGTTTTCTGTGAGAGGTAGGTTTAGGGGTAGGGCGATAGAAAATACAGTTTGTACAGTATAAAAATCATTACGCTTATGGAGAGTCCCCGTAAACCACAACTGGAAGTGTGTGTGTGTGTGTGTGAGAAGCCTAAAAAAGCAATCAAATTAAAACAAAGGGCTGGAAATGAAGCCTGACCATAATGGTGCGACAGGTCATATATAACAAAGCTGGCAGCATCACACACGCCACAAACGAGCACGCTGGTGAACTGTGGCTACATTTACACGCATTTTATAGCGTGTAAAAGCCCTGCAGAATCTCATAACTACATGCAATTACAAGCGCATGAGGCAATGCACACGTCTGAGACCCCAAAACACAGCGCTAATTCACTTCACAGTTATGAGCACAAAGCACTAATAAACTATTCCATTTCCTTCCACCGACAGCACATTTAAGCAATTGTCATCTCAGAAAGAGGATGCTGGGTAATGTATGCATGTAATTGCATGAAGTACCTGGGCCGATATTGACGGTGAAGGGGCTCTTAGGGATGGCGATGCCTCCGAATGTAATGTTGATGGTGTGAGGGCCGGCCTGCATGGGTTTGTAGGTGCAGCGGAAGACGCTTTCACCCTTGTCTTCCATGATGGCCTCCACGGTGTTTTTATTACCCAGAGGGTCTTTGATGACAGCCGTCACATCACCCACTCCGGCACCTGATTAACACAGAGAGTACAGCGGCATCAAGACTTGTTTTTGTCAAGGAAGTGAGCTCAAATTCAAGTTTGCATGGTCAGACCTGCGGTGTAGATGTCGAAGAAGGTGGGTTTGTTGGCGATGTTGCCCAGCGGCTCCAGTCCGGGTCCTTTAGCCGTGACTTTAGTGGCGTCTCCCTGGGCTTTGTCCACAACTACCTCAAACGGGCTCTTTATGATTTGCTGTCCAGCGAAAAGCACAGTGACCTGTGGAGTGAACATAAAACACCATGAGCCTATATTTCACAGAATAATGCATGGAAACAGAGTCGTTCTGTGTTCTTCTGTGTTCATACATAATAAACTTAATTGTGTAAAAACAAACTATTATAACAACTAGGGAGGCCTGAAAATGACGTAAAATAATTTAAAGTAATACAAAAAATGAAAAAAGCCAAAACAACTTTTAATGCATCCACAACGGTTCCTGATTTCTTTGCAGGACAAGGATTCCCAGTCTAGAAAAACCTGGACATATTTAAAAGTGAGATTTTTAGACCTGGAAATGTCATGTGAATTAATACAATTTTAAATAAATAAATACATATTCACAATTAATTTTTATATTTATAATAAAAATATTGGATTGTTATATGTTTAATAATATATAAATGTATATAATGAGTACAGAATATAGTATCTTATAAAAGTATCTTTATAATAGCTTATAAAAAGAATATTTTTATTCGCATATTAAATATGCAAATGTAATTTACAATTTTTATATTTGAATTTATTTGACAGACTAGATCAAATACAAATGTATATGTATTATATATAATATATATAAATAAATAAACTGTATGTAACTAAATAACTAATGTAACACATTAACTAGTAAATTTTTAACATTACAATTTTAAACAAAGCTTTATGTTATTATATATTACAATTATGAATTATGGTTTGTTTGACAAATAGAAAGGTCAGCATTTCTATGAAATTGAAATGTTCTGTAACTTTATAAATGACTTTACAGTCACTTTTGATCAACTTAGTGTTCTTTCTGAATAAGAGTATTAATTTCTTCGCCAATATTGTTTATTCGAGAACATTTTGTGAATAAAAACCACAAAGATCTGGAAAAAGCACGGGGCCTTTGAATATTGCTGTAAATAACAGGGGCCTTTGAGTCAAACGTGTTGAGAAGCACTGCTGCAGACGGATCATTTCATCCTGACCTTGTGCGGTCCCATGACCTGAGGGATGTACGTCACGCTGTAGGTCTTTTTGCCTTCATTGAGCACAGGTCTGACCTCCTCTCTGCGGCCCTCTGGGTCTTCAACATAGACAGTGACCTGGCCTTGACCCGCGCTGAAGGTGTCCACTGTGAACACGGCCGGACGCATCACCCGGTTCCCAGTCGGCTCGATGCCTGGTGAACAAAAAATCATTCAGGACTTTACTCTGGAAAACAGGTGAATCACGAAACAAGTTTATTTCAGCTAATGAGAAGCGGTTTCTGTTCTAATTACAACCTTTAATGGATCCGACAGAGCTGTTAAAACAAAAATGACATGCTTCAACAGTCCTAAGATAGCATTTCCTTCACACTGTGCCATTAACATCTCCAGCAAACTCACATAACACTCATTGTGAAATATATATTTACTGCACTGCTGCATGTTTAGATGTCTGCTATTGATTACATAAGCATACAGTATATAAAACAGATTCACAAATGCACGAAAAAAAAACAACAACACTAAACTTCAAAATCTAAGCAATAAATCAATTTGGACGCCTTTAAAGGCCCCTTTTAAGTGTTGCATTAATGACCTTTAAAACAAACTTTCATTAAAAATATTTTTTATAAATAATTTTAAGCTATTCAATTTTATAATCATAAGACATGCAAATTTATGTAAAGGTCTATAAATATGTTTTTGATCAATATAAATGCATTTTCATTTTATGTATTCACATATTTGGAGATTTTATTTAATTACTGCATGCGTCATGATTGGTGGATATTATATTATCTGATTTATACCAGCTTCCTCACTGGTTGATTGCAAATTAATTCTAAATAAATATTTTTAATAAATAATCAATTTATTTAAATTATAATAAATAATACACCTAAACGAATTAAAATACGTTTCACATTTTGTTTGCATTTAAATTCAAATCTTTCCCCATTTATAGTCTTTCAGCCCTTGAAGGCCTGTGGGCTGAAACATAAAAAAAACATAAAAAGTGGTCATGAATTTATGATGTGGATTTGATTCATGAATCCTCTACTTGTGCACAGCTAATGTTGTATAATTTATGCATACACAAAGAAACAGAAACAGTAGATATCGTCAGATGTTGGATAAAAACCGCAGTGGTCGATAAACCTGCAAACGTAATAGTCTAAAAATACTCCTTTTAGTTTATAGTTTGAGGCAAACTGCACAAAACCACACGATCCCTCTGAGCTTTTCCAAACACTGATTCAATTCACCACTGAAAACGACAGTCCTCGACGTGTGATTTAGGAAACAAGGGTGACTGTGTCGTTGTTTTATTTGTAGTGCTTTCAGAGAGGACATAATCACTTAATGGAAAAATAACACTAATGTGACATTTTCATTATTTGTCGTAAATTATACGGCCGTTCAAAAACAGAGGTGAAGATTTCCTAAGACTGACGACGCCGCAGCCAAAACCTTGCAGCTCATTTTAGTAAATGTGGTCACAGAAAATGTGTCGAGGTCACCTCTGGTGTGAGAATCATAACTCTTAAACTCATTAGCCAGCGGTTTTACAGCTTTAGTCAAATTTACAACAAGAAGCACATTTTCACTCCATCCATCAGTCCTGAGCATAACAGGAGCCGCTGTATTCACGCGGTACTAACTTACACTACCAGTCAAAAGCTTAAAATAAGCACGATTTTAAAGTGCTGTTGTTTTTTTTAAGTGTTATTGAAAGATGCGCTGCTCCAAATTTTTGTGAAAACTGTGATACAATACTATTCAAACAATTAAGGTAGAATTTTTAAAAACAAATACTTTAGGACACATTCAATTGATCAAAATTGACAGTAAAGGCATTTATAATGTTACAAAAGATTTCAATTTTCTGTTCTTTTGACCTTTCTATACAAATAACGCAGATTTTTCACAAAAGCATTAATCAGCAAAAACGGTTTAATAGCAATAATCATATCTGAGCAGCAAATCAGCATATTAGAATGATTTCTGAAAGATCGTGTGGAGTAATGATGCTGAAAATTCACAGGAATAAATTACATTTCAAAATATTACAACAGAAAAAAGTTATTTTAAATTGTAATATGATTGTTTTCCCTCCATTTTGATCAATACAGGCTTGGTGAGCAGTTGACACTCAAAAAACATAAATTTCTTAATTATTCCAAACTTTTGAGCGGTAGTGAAACTCAAGCTCAAAAGAGAGTACGAGACATCAGATCACAGCAGAGGAAACCCCTTATCTTAATCTCATCACACCGCATTAACAAATCTGTGACATGTCAAGTATCTGAGAAAGTCTGCCCATAACGCTCCATGTGCTCCTGACGAGGGTTCATGAGAATCACAATATCCCGAAACTCTGGTATGATAGCAATTAGGCATGGGACGATAACCGGTTTCAGGGTATACCGCGGTTTGGAAAAGTCACGGTTTCAAAACCACTAAAATTTCCCGTTATACCGTTCCTGCGGTAAGTGCAGGACTCCCTCAGTTGTGTGCAGTGAAGAGCATAAGGAGTCACACGACCCCTCCCCCTGAGCCCCTCCGGTTGCTGCGAGCAGTCAGTGAGAGTCACCTGTGTGTGGGATGGCCGAAGGAGATGAATCAATGGGACTCTTTCCCCCGTCGAAAAAGATGAAGTCTGTCGTATAGGAATTTTTCAGGTAACGTTGGCTTGCTACTGAGGCAGATAACATGGCTAATTAACTAGCTAACGTCAACTAGTTTCCTCGCATGACAACACACTGCCTTTAATACGGATCATTTCTTAACACAGCATCATTAAAGGGGTCATATGATGTGCCTCACGTTACTTCACAGAGTGAGGAATAGCAGTCTAAAGTACGTACTGTAGCCTACTTTTCTGCGATTCAGTACAATAATTAAATTTAGCTGGTATCACGTCTATACTTTTAAGCCTCCTGCCATTGTTTACATCGGTTCAAAATCACGCATTTAAAAACAAAACAAAAAAAAAACCTTGCCACTGTTTGAGTGTTGTACGGAGAGACCGCACATGTGTGTGTGTGTGTGTGTGTGTGTGTGTGACACTCGCGCTCTCTCTTTCCTTATGTGTGTATGTGCACACATCCTTGTACCTCACCGCTCCAAACTTAATCCGGGAAAGGTGAACATTCCTGCATCATAACTTGAACTGAAAGATGAATGTGTAGAAAGCAAGCATGTCTCCAAAAACCTTGTTGAGCTGCAGGTTTATGCATGCATTTTTTATTAAAAATTCCAAACTTAATCCGGGAAAGGTGAACATTCCTGCATCATAACTTGAACTGAAAGATGAATGTGTAGAAAGCAAGCATGTCTCCAAAAACCTTGTTGAGCTGCAGGTTTATGCATGCATTTTTTATTAAAAATTTTATTATATTTTTTACAGAAATTGTTTTGATTATATTTTTGATTATTGAGCTGCAGGTTTAGGCTCACTTAAGTGACTGCATTTAATTAAGAAGAATTTAATTATTTATTCTAATTATTTAGCCTGACATGTTTACTGTTCCAAAATGTTCTATATGTTTCTTAAAAATAAAATGTATTCAGTGGGAAAAAAAGTTGATTTTTTTTACCCAGACATTTAAAAATAACATTTTAGAGCTGTAATCGTAATACCGTGATATTTTTATCTAAGGTTTTCATACCGTCAGAATCTCATACCGGCCCATGCCTAACAGCAATCTTTGTGTGTGTGGCCGCTCAGACGGATCTCACCGTTTGGGTGCTTCTATGTAAACAACAACACTAGTGCACGTTTGTAAGGTGACGAAGCTGGCTCACCTGGGCCGTACGCGCGCGCCTTCTTCGGGTTGAGTTTGGGTTTGAGAGGAGCTCCGGGCTTCAGTTTGGATTTGGGGAACTGAGACAGATACGTCATGACTGACTGCTCGTCCACACTGGGGTCAATGATCTCCTCTGGAGCAATCACCTGCAAACACAGACTAAACATGAGTAGTGTGCAACAACAACAAAAAATCACCTGGTTTAACGTGCAGCTAATTTATTTCGGACAACATTTGGCTTGAAGTCTCAGGCTGGACTACCCGTTTATCCAAACCAATGTTATTTTAGTATCATTGGTGCGCTATTATAGTTAAGATTTTCAATTAGGATTTACTTCTATATTTTATTCTCGTTTTAATAATTTTGTTCCTTTTTTAATAACTTAAATAACTTTTTTATAATACATTTCAAACAATTTTTAATGCATTTTTATTTATTAATTTTTACTTAAATTTATTAATTGTATAATTATTTTAAATTCATTTAAAAAGGTTAAAAGATTAAATACAGTTTATTTATAAGTAAATACAAAATGTTGGCTTTAGAAAACACCACTAATGATACAAATGTAGCAGAATTGTAAATGTGATGGGAACAAAGCACAGCTTGTATAACAGTGTATATAATGACCCACAGTATTAGCAAACACTGACTAGACTAATAAATAGATAAATGGGGTGGAGTATCATGTTTGTAAATGACTCCGCTTTTAATCCTCATCTTCACTGAATACACATCAATCGATCAGGAATATGATTCACTGCAAACCAATCCCTGACAACTGATCTTATATCACAGGTAATAAAATGTTATTAAAAAAGGAATCGCATTATCTTGCACACTTGTTCCTGAAGAAAACAAACAATTAAGATGAAGATTTGTGCTCAGTTATGGCAAATGAGCACTCCGTAGTGAACTCAGAAGATTAGACAATTGAACACTTGAAATGAGTCTGTTTTGGAGAAAGCACATGTTTGCAGGAGGAATCGCAGCTGTCAGTGATTAACACTGCAGAAATCATCCCGCGGTCTGTTCGCTGGACCGACCGAATGCTCCCTCATGTTCACACTATCAGTCGTCTAACTTTAGCACACAGACAAAGATCAAGAGCAAATCTGACACGAAAATAAACTAATGCAGCTTGAACTTACAGTTGGATATATTATATAAAATTCATTCATTGAAAAGAAGTACATTTAAAATGTGCTTTATATATTTATAGTTCATTGTTTGATTGATCCATTTATTTACATATTTTAATGCATTTTAAAGAATGCATTATATTTTTATCAATACATATTTATAATTTTAGAATTGTTTTTTATTTTAATATTTTTTTATAATTTTACTATGTACAAAAATAAATAAATATTTATATATCGTTAATAATTAATTTATTAAATAAACAAACAAATGTAAATAACCCAATAAACTGTCAGTTTGTTTCCCTCCAAAAACAAAACCAAAAATCAGCACAAGCAAACAGAAGGTCATCCGGGCTAGTCACTGTTTTAGGAGGTCATTTGAGGAGAAGCTACAAAACACAGGGAAGTCCCAAGGAAAATCCAGCCTGAACAGGCTTGGAAGGACACATGCAGAATAATACTACAAGCATTTCCCTACATGACAGGAAATCTGAGATGCTCACTTTAAAACTCTTGAGCCGAGCGCTTGGAAACACACCAGCACATTTGACGATTTGTTAGTTAATCTTGCAATTCCATTAGTCTCAGAAACTCTCATTCCAACCAGATGAATCCAATGAGGATCAACCCAAACAGATGGCTAAAAAGCCTGATTACGAAGGTGTCCAAAATTTTGTCCAAACACTGACATAATCCAATTATGAGAATACACAACCGATCATCGGCACAATACGCCCTGACATGAGTCAGTACTATCAGAGCAAACATGCACTTACAGTACTAGAACAAACCGTGAAGATCTAGAGCACATCAGATGAAAAGAAAAGAGAAAGAGAATTTACTGAGAAAGTAGGGATGCTCCGATACACCACTTTTTCCAGTACTCGCCCGATAACGATACTTTTGGTACTTGCCGATACATTTACATATATGCATTTAGCAGACGCTTTTACCCAAAGCGACTTACAGTGCATTCAGGATAGACTTTTTTTTTAACAGTACAGCCTAGCGCATTTACACTAACTGATAGTTTCACTGTCCATAAAGTTTCACACCATAAAGTCATGTATGGTTAAGGTTGAAAATAAAATGTTGTTTATAGTAAATGCTCCTATAAATGTTGTTTTATATTTACGATTTAGTTTTAATCCAAATGATGCATCTGCTAAGTGAGCGAACATCAAAGATCAAGCATCTCTCTCTCGCTCTCTCTCAAAGTTTGTGTGTATATAAATGAGATTAAAATAAAGTACAAAAGGTGAATATAGTTGTGTAAAAAACTAATGAAAGGTGAATATGAATTTGTAAAAATAAAATACAATTAAAAATTCTATATTTTAAAATACATATTTAAAAACATAGTACAAATCGTAAAGAAAGATACAACATGAGGAAAAAGTGAATTTATCAAGTTAAAAAAAGGTGAATATAAAATTGAAAACAAATATATATAAAATTGAAAACATGTATATAAATATAATAAAAATATTTTTAATAATATAAGTTGTGTCTTTATATTGATTATTAAAGTAAATAGTGCAAACCATAAAGACAGTATCACACACACAAAAGGAGAGAGTGAGTTTACCAAGATAACAAGCAACAGTTGAAGCCAAGATCACACAGACTGTCCCTGACCACATACAGACGATACAGAGGATCACATACAAAATAATACATGACCCTGCAATAAAGGCCCGTTCAGTAATGCTTCAGAACAAGGAGAAATTATAAAAAACATGCTTAAAAATCCTGCTCTAATTCCTCTTGAATGCATTTGCAAAGTTTGAAGCATAAGCATGGGTCAAGACTGACTTAGCAAAGGTTAGAAATGTCCTGAGCTTTATTATGGAGATCTCCTTGGGAACCGGCCTGGAGAAAATCAACAAACACTTATGAAAGTCAAGAAGCATGATGTGAGCAGCTGGAGCCACCGTCACCAAACATGACGTGATCCTGAAGAGCAAATCAGATTCTCTACACGGAGAATCAAATTAACTGCGTTTAATCAAACGGCCGCATTCATAACAGGCCATAAACACCTTGAGTCATGCCATTACAATTTATACTGCTCTTTTTCTGATATAAATGTGGACTCAGAAAGGTTGAGTTTACCAAGATAACAAGCAACAGTTGAAGCCAAGATCACACAGACTGTCCCTGACCACATACAGACGATACAGAGGATCACATACAAAATAATACATGACCCTGCAATAAAGGCCCGTTCAGTAATGCTTCAGAACAAGGAGCAATTATAAAAAACATGCTTAAAAATCCTGCTCTAATTCCTCTTGAATGCATTTGCAAAGTTTGAAGCATAAGCATGGGTCAAGACTGACTTAGCAAAGGTTAGAAATGTCCTGAGCTTTATTATTGAGATCTCCTTGGGAACCGGCCTGGAAAAAAGCAACAAACACTTATGAAAGTCAAGAAGCATGATGTGAGCAGCTGGAGCCACCGTCACCAAACATGACGTGATCCTGAAGAGCAAATCAGATTCTCTACACGGAGAATCAAATTAACTGCGTTTAATCAAACGGCCGCATTCATAACAGGCCATAAACACCTTGAGTCATGCCATTACAATTTATACTGCTCTTTTTCTGATATAAATGTGGACTCAGAAAGGTTAGAAAGAAAGTTTTCAGTCACATGAGCTGAATCTTAAAAGCCATTAATGATTAACATTGAAAGATCAAACTAAACTTATTGAGAAAAAAAAACATGTTCTGCTTATATTTTAATCCAAAGATCACAAGAAAAAGAAAATTATGTTTTAACACAAAGGAAATTAAGAACTTTAAGATATTTAAAAGTTTTAGCATTATGACATTTTCATAAAGATTACATCCCTGATACTCATTACTATAATAACTGTTGTTGTTGTTGTTATTAAATTAGTATTTTATTGCATTTAAAAATACAGTATGAGTTTACCAAGATAACAAGCAACAGTTGAAGCCAAGATCACACAGACTGTCCCTGACCACATACAGACGATACAGAGGATCACATACAAAATAATACATGACCCTGCAATAAAGGCCCGTTCAGTAATGCTTCAGAACAAGGAGAAATTATAAAAAACATGCTTAAAAATCCTGCTCTAATTCCTCTTGAATGCATTTGCAAAGTTTGAAGCATAAGCATGGGTCAAGACTGACTTAGCAAAGGTTAGAAATGTCCTGAGCTTTATTATTGAGATCTCCTTGGGAACCGGCCTGGAAAAAATCAACAAACACTTATGAAAGTCAAGAAGCATGATGTGAGCAGCTGGAGCCACCGTCACCAAACATGACGTGATCCTGAAGAGCAAATCAGATTCTCTACACGGAGAATCAAATTAACTGCGTTTAATCAAACGGCCGCATTCATAACAGGCCATAAACACCTTGAGTCATGCCATTACAATTTATACTGCTCTTTTTCTGATATAAATGTGGACTCAGAAAGGTTAGAACGAAAGTTTTCAGTCACATGAGCTGAATCTTAAAAGCCATTAATGATTAACATTGAAAGATCAAACTAAACTTATTGAGAAAAAAAAAACATGTTCTGCTTATATTTTAATCCAAAGATCACAAGAAAAAGAAAATTATGTTTTTAACACAAAGGAAATTAAGAACTTTAAGATATTTAAAAGTTTTAGCATTATGACATTTTCATAACGATTACATCCCTGATACTCATTACTATAATAACTGTTGTTGTTGTTATTAAATTAGTATTTTATTGCATTTAAAAATACAGTATTACATTATTATTAAAAACATTATCATTAAAAACTTTTTAATTTTAAAACAATGAATTCTTTATTATCATAGCATTCATAAGTGCAATGCAAAATAATTGTTTTTGAAGAATTTATTATTATTACATAAACTATAACAACATTCATAAGTGTAATTTTAATATTACAATACTTTAATATTGGTAACAAATAATTTAATAAAAGCCGTGGATGTAAATCACTGTTGTTGTGGTTTTGTTTAGTGCA